TGATATGGAGATGAACCCAAAGCTGACACCTGTCTTTTGTTATTTTCACATAAATGTCAACTCGACCTTTCTGAATTGTAGTATGATATAACAAAAGGCTCCAGTGATATATATGTAGCTAACCCATTTCTTTAGGCCTTTTGTACTTATCAATTTATACCACTCCATCCACAACAAAACATCAAAACTCATGACCCTCATTTAATTAATTTTAAATCCATAGAATTCGAAACATGCCATTTAGCGAATTTTCTATGGCCCTCGCAAAGTTGAAAAAATGCGTAGTTGCTTTAGACGCGTAATTTGAAATTACCTTCTTAAACTCGGGTGTGCATTTCATGTGACCCAAATCCAAATCCCAACAACGTTAAATAAAATGTGTCGTGGACCNGACCACGAGTGCATTTATGTGACGTAGTTCAAGACATATTTTAAATGACGTTGCAATCTTCCTAAAAATGATAAGAGCGGTTAATAAGTTAAAATTGAACCATAGGCTAAAATATGTATTAAAATCAGATAATAGGCATATAACAGTTGAGCGACCATGTTAGAACCACGGAACCCGGGAATGCCTAACACCTTCTCCCGGGTTAACAGAATTCCTTACCCGGATTTCTGTGCTCGCGGATTGTAAAACAGAGTCAATCTTTTCCTCGATTCGGGATTTGAACCGGTGACTTGGGACACCATAAATTATCCCAAGTGGCGACTCTAAATTTTTAATAATAAATGAATCCCGTTTCTATTGTCACTTTAAGTTGGAAAAAACTCCCTTATACCCTTTCCGGAGTGTAGGAAAAAAGGAGGTGTGACACTCATTGTCAACAACAGAAGAGTTCAATTAATGGCAAAACCAAAACAGCAAATAATACTGTAATAAATAAACAATACGTAATAAAAAACTACCGAAGTTTTTTATATACTGTTTTACAGAAAAACAATGAAGTTTTTATGTTCTTCAAATCGTTTTCTGAATTTCAATACTCTGATGAAGTTTTTATATCTTCAAATCATAATAGTAAAATTCCGACGGAGTAGAAAACCACACAGGTTTTAATCTCTACAAACAGAATACAGAATATAATAAAATAATTTCCTTAAGATTGTTATTAATCTGTATTGCTGTAAATAAATAAAATAATAATCTTTCTGAAAACAGAAACATAAAGTTAGTAGAAATTAAATTTCATAAACAATATTTGAACTTCTTCAAAATAAATTCTGAAAACGGTATAGGAACAAATCGAGCCCACTGAATACACAGTGTGTCCTTAAGGAAATTATTTCCCTCAAGTACTCGAGGTTCTGGAATATATCCTCCCAAGATAGAACGATTTAACTCACCAGAGTGTTGGTACCAAAAACGCCGATGAACAGCGAACCACTCGAAGGCTGCAAAACACACTGGAATTTTTGTGCAGAAGAAGAAGAAGATTATCAGAAAATTTCGTAAGTAAATATTCTGGGATTTGAAGGTATATTTATAGCTAATTTGGTACTGTTTCTAAAAAGGTTTGCAACCTTTCAGAACAGCCATAGCTCTTGGAACAGGTTTGACACTGTTTCAGAACAGCCATAATTGTTGGAAATATTGCGGGAAATATAAAACGAATTTAAAAATAATCCGGGAAAGAAAACGGGTCGAACCGGACCGGGTCGCGGGTCATGGGTTATTCCGGATTGAATTTTGGTTAATTAATTTAATTAATTAATTAAATACTTGAAAAGAATTTTGTCCAAAAAGATTAATCAATCAATCGTTGACCAAATTCGAAGCCGAAGCCGAAGCCGAGCCGAGCGAGCGACGACGACGACGTCACGAGGCTTGCCTTCTTCTTAACTCTTTAAGAGCTAAAATATGGCCTTCTTTATATATACACAAAGATTTTCTTTCCTTCTACCAATGAGGGACAAAATGCATTAGTAAAATGAACTCATTCAAAATTTCACTTCCCTCCATTTCTTTTCCCACCATTTTCCATCCACACCTCTTTTGTTATTAATAAATAATAACAAAACCCCACTCATTCCCGGGGAAGGGGGGGGGGGAGGAGAAACACTCTGTACTAAGGATTTTTTCATACCTAAAATTTGAACTCGAGACATTTGGTTAAGGGAGGAGCATCGCCCTCCGTTGCACCACATCCTTTGGTGATCTAAAGTTATTCGTTTTAAGTTAGGGTTATGTTTATCCAAAAATTCGTGAAAATAGCACGGGCTAGCCAGTTTTCGGACTGGTAATTGAAAAATAACCATTATTTGCTGCAGCACGGAAAGTTCTAGTATAATATACTGGAGATTGATGCACCTGTGTATGAACTTCCAACATATTATGCTGGAACTCCAACACACGAAAAGTTCCAGCATAATATACTGGAGATTGATGCACCTGTGTATGAACTTCCAACATATTATGCTGGAACTCCAACACACGAAAAGTTCCAGCATAATATACTGGAGATTGGAGCATCTATGTATGAACTTCTAGCATATTATGCTGGACTAGTATATTATACTGCAACTCCAATATATTATATTGGAACTCCAGTGTATTATGCTGGAACTCCAGTATATTATGTTGGAATATTATTCAGATTTTGAATAGTGTTTTCCTTCAGATTTATCTTTACATGAAAAGTGGCTAAATTTCGATTACTTTTGAAACTGTTGCTATTTTTCAATTATCACATGTAAATCTGGCTATTTTTGAATTTACAAATTGATGACTAAATTTTAAATAGTTTTTAAAAAGCGGCTATGCTTTAAACGTGCCAGAACAACTACAAGCCCTTATGTGGTGTCATTTCTTGCAACACAGAGAATAAAGCTCTGAGATTATCAAGATAAGAGACAAAAGACCATCAACAAGATGGCGTGTGGGACTCTCAGAAGCATTTTCCTGACGGAACCATGGAGGCCTCTTTCCCGGAAATCAACTGGGGCATTTTTTCATACCCAGAAATGCTTCAAAACCAATTTAATAAGCTGTGGCTGTAAACTCATCAACTATAAAAGAAGTCAGTATCTGAAGTGCTCTAACAATAAAAGCCCATTGGCATCTGAGGGTGGTCCTGACCAAGGTCCTCCTCAAGAAGCTGTCCTTAAGGCCATCTCAGGTCCACCCAAATTCTAACTTTTTTCTTTTAATTTAGTAATACAGGATAGATGTTTAACTTACGTTGAATTTATTTTTGAATCTATTAGAAGTGTCCAAGAGTGAAGGGAGGGTTGGACAAACTACGAATGTCATAATTGGAGGCACAGTGCAGGATGATGCTACTAATGAGTGGCTTGCTCTCGATAAGAAGGTGCGTTTTCCTACATGGATACAACCCTTTCTTCATTTCCGCAATATTGATAATTGATTTTTTTTACTTGACAGGTGAATTCTTACCCCACTGAAAGAGGATTTACAGCTATTGGTACTGGAGGTGATGATTTTGTGCAGGCTATGGTTGTTGCTGTTGAATCAGTGATACAACAGCCCATCTCTGAGGTAAGTGAAAATGATAATACACTAGTTTTGCACCTATTTAGATTTGGATGACTATATTACTTAGACTTGGGAAATTTTGGGGATTACATGACTAGCCTGAGTTGGTATTTTGTCTTCCAAAGTTTAAATTTGTTGATGGCAGGATTTTCTTTTTCTAGTGCTATGGCGATGATAACCCATTGGGACATGCTATTTGGTAATAATTGAAATCAAGTTAATGAACTAGCTAGAACTGTGTGGATAAGTAGCAACTTAGCTATGTTCGATCCCTGCTGCAGACAAAAGCATGATATTTAAATGAGAAGAGCAGAGAGGACCCACTATCACCGAGTTCCAAATCTTGCACCACTAGCCTCGGGGATTTCTCGGTTATTAAAAAAAAATATTAGTGTAAGTAACTCTTAGTAGCTAGACTAAACTGATGAAAATTTTGATGGTCTATGATAGAATTCTGCTTTCTAATATAATTAAAGCTGCTGAAATTTGAAAAACGAATAACCCAGAGAAATGAACCATGAAATTATGAACTTTTGAGTTTCTTCAACTTAGCCAAGACAACCAACCCACTCCCTTAAACTAAATACAAAATGTCAAGCGTCCTTCACTAATTCCCGAGGCAAACTTTGAAGAATCAAGGCTGGATTACTGTATCTAAAATCCCACCAAAGATCGTGATGCCATCTAATACGCCGGTTAGGCGATCAACAGTTACAACTACCAAATATTCAGTAACAATAAAACAAACGACAACAATATTCTATATTAGGTTTATGCCAACAATAACAACAACAACATACCCAGTGTAATCTCACAAGTGGGGTCTGGGGAGGATAGAGTGTACGCAGTCCTTACCCCTACCTGTAATAAATCCTATACTGAAGTAAATGTACAGAACAACATACAACCCCCAGAAGGCCAGAACTAGTGTCACCGAGTACATGAGCTCTATTGAGTCCTAAATATAAAGGTTTCAAGTAAATACAATACTGTTTGAATCAAGTAACAGTAATAAAGATAAGGAAGGTAACTCCAAGGCCTGCGAACGGATATGCAGCACTACCTCAAGTCTCCAATGTCCACAGCTAAGCACCTCTATAAACTCCGCTAGTACCAATATCTGAATCTGCATAAGAAGTGCAGAAATGTAGCATGTGTATAACCGACCCAATGTACTCAGTAAGTATCGAGCCTAACCTCAACGAAGTAGTAACGAGGCTAAGACATGACACTTACTTTGTAAACCAATGCAAGTAATAAACAGAAAGCAAAACAAGAGAAAAGGTGAATAGTAATAAAAGGGATCAAATAAGAGAACTAATAAACAAATTTTACGGATATAACAGCATAAAGCATAACCTTATGAACCAATTCCACAAGGGAGAAGTAATATATAAAAAATAAGCACAAGATATTCATATCCATTGCGGTGAGCAAGCCGATCCCATGAAAATACAATTCCAGAGTGCAACCCGATTCAATGGCCATATCGGTGCGTCGTGCAAGCCGACCCATCCATACCAAGCACATGTGTGTCAACGACAAGCATAGTAGAATGCATAGCATAGTAGAATGCATAGATATAGATATGGGCAGATGAGTAAACATATTACACTACGGAAGTGATAAGCATGACTAAGGTGCAATAGGCAACCAACATATCAAAAGACATCTCTCATGTCCTACAACAAGGCCTAAACATGGTCACTAACGTCTGAATTATCGGGTGGTCTCACAACCCATTATAGCATAAGCGAATAATACATTGAAGCGAACAAAAGCATGAATAAGATTATCTCTACCCAAGCATGCTATAACCTTGACATACATATATACGCTCGTCACCACGCATATACATCACCGCTAACACACATAGCACACACATAGCACATAAGGCCATTTACAAATAGTTTCTCTTGAGTCGAGGTCAACCAAGATACTTGCCTCTTTCTGGAATAAGTTCAACAATTCAATACCGCTTTTTCTTTAGAATTCACCTCCAACCGTCTCAATCTAGCCATATGATACTCAATAATGTCAAGTAAAGTCAGAAAAACCAATTCGAAACAATAAAATTCAATCTTTAATCTATTCTAAAAAGTCAACAAAAGTCAACCCGAGCTCACATGGTCAAAACCTGAGTCAACCCGAGCTCACATGGTCAAAACCTGAGTCTAGGACTAGATCCTGTTAACCCATAACCCCACGACAACAACAACTACAACAAACCCAATGTAATCCCACTAGTGGTGTCTTAGAGGGTAGTGTGTACGTAGATTTTACCCCTACCTTTAAGAAAGCAGAGAGGTTGAAACCGGTAGACCCTCGACTCAGGGAAAATAAAAAGAAGGAGCAACAACAAACAAACCAATCAGAAAACTGAAGTGAAAATACAAGACTAACACTAAGTAATGCAATCAAAAAACGAAGCAAAAGAAACAACAAATAATAACATAAATCTAGAATAAGAAAATACAAGTCTAATGCACTAAGGCTACTGGTACAAGCAAGGACAATGCTCGACTACCTAACACTCTACCTTAATTCTCAACCACCACACCTTTCTATCAACGATCATGTCCTCGGTAAGCTGGAGCATCACCATGTCTTGCCACTTCTACCCAATACTTCTCTAGCCTACCTCTACCTCTCCTTAGGCCCTCCAAGACCAACCTCTTATATCTCCTCACTGGGGCATCTCTGCCTCTACTCTTCACATACCCGAACCATCTAAGTTTCGTTTCCCGCTTTTTGTCCTCCATAGAGGCCACACCTACCTTGTCCCAAATAGCTTTATTTCTAATACTATCTAACCTGGCAATGCACGCACATCAATCTCAACATCCTCATTCCAGCCACCTTCATCCTCTGGACATGGAAGATCTTGACTGGCAACACTCAGTCCCATACAACATAGTCGGTCTGACCACCGTTCTATAGAACTTACCTTTAAGTTTTGGTGGCACATTCTTATCACACAAAATGCCAGAAGCGAGCATCCATTTCATCCACCCCGTTCCAATACGATGTGTGACATCCACGTCAATCTGCCTATTCCCTTGTATAACTGACCCAAGATACTTGAAACTCTCTCATATGGATGACTTGTGGATCAAGCCTCATGTCTTCGTCTACTTCCTGAGTCCCACAACTGAACTTGCACTCCAAGTATTCTATCTTTGTCCTGCTCAACTTAAAACCTTTAGACACCGGGGTCTGTCTCCAAACCTCTAACCTCTCGTTAACACCGCCTCACATCTCGTCAATCAGTACAATGTCATCTACAAATAACATGCACCACGACACCTCCTTGTGAATATGGCGCATTAGTGCGTTGATCGCTAGGGCAAAAAGAAATGGGCTGACAGCGGATCCTTGGTGCAACACAGCATAACTGGAAGTGTTCCGAGTCCCCTCCCACTGTCCTCACCTGAGTCTTAGCTCTATCATACATGTCCTTAATAGCAATAATGTATGCAACACTTCTAACCTCCAAACATCTCCACAGAACTTCCCTTGGCACTTTATTGTAAGCCTTTTCTAAGTCAACGAACACCATATGTAAATCCTTCTTCCTCTCCCTATTCTGCTCCATTAATCTCCTAACAAGGTGAAAACCCATAACCCTACGAGCCCAAATATGTGATTAGATTCCAAATTCGAGTCAAAATCGGTACTCAAAACCTCAAAATACACCCTCTTAAGTTGTAGAGAAAAACCCCAAATTTTACTTTAAAATTTTATATTCTAGGCGTAGAAATCCATGGGGAATCAAGATATATGATCAAAATCAAGTGGAAATTACTTACCCCTAAGAGTAGTGAAATCCCTCTTCAAAATCTCTTCTCCTTCTCCAAAACTCAAAAATGGTAAAAAAATGAGCTAAGTTCCGAAATTTGGACTTAAAATACCCCTGCCAGCATTACCCTCGCGATCCCGGTCACAACCTACGTGATCGCGATGCACAAACGTCCACTGCCTGACCTCCCTCTTACGTGGACAGAGTCGCGCTATCACGAAACTTCACTTGACACACCTACGTGATCGCAGATGCAACCACGCGATAACGAAGCACTCGCCCCTAGTCGTCAGGCTGCTCTATGCGATCACCAGAGACTCCAGGCGACCACAATGCTCACTCAGCCAACACTTCGCGATCGCCAACCTCTTCCATGCGATCACGAAGAACAAATCCTCATCTGCCAAACTTCTTCTATACGAACACGACCTAATCCCCGCGTTCACGATTCACATGAACACCAACAAAACCAACAATCTTAAGCATGCTGCGGATGGTCCGAAACTCACCCGAGCCCCTCGGGACCCCGTCCAAATATTCCAATAAGTTGATTAACATTAATCAAACCTATCCAAGGCCTCAAAACTCATACAGAATCATCACATCTAAGAATCGAATGCCAAACCACACATTGAACTCTCTTAAGGTCACAAGCTCCTAAACTTCCAACCAAGTGTCCGATTTATACATAGATACCTCGGATCTCCACCAATTTTTACATACAAGTTCTGTTAATCTGCACAAATCTATCCATAGTCCCCGTAACACCAATCGAAATCCGATAACATCAAAGTCAACTATTGGTCAAACCTATGAACTCCAAAGATCCTTCAAAATGCCAACTTTCGACAATGATGTCAACTCCTCCTAGGAACCTCCAAAACCAAACCTGAACATACACCCAAGTCTAAAATCATCATACGAACCTATTGGAACCTTCATTCTGATATCGTTTACCTAAAAGTCAAACCTTGGTCATCTCTTACAACTTAAGGCTTTCAATATAGAACTAAGTGTTCCAACCACTCCTGAACCCCACGAAAATCAAACCACCAATCCCTGAAGTCATATAACATCAAATGGACCTACATGAAGCAACAAATAGGGCATCGGGATTCTAGAACTCAAAACGACCGGTGGAGTCGTTACAATTACTGTCATAGGTTAAACCTGAGTGGAGTATGAACCATCTTTGCCTTGTCTTTGGAAATATAGCTATCATTCTTTTCTGCAGTATGAGCTCTTCCATTCTTTCGCAAACGAAAGAAAGAAAAAAAGGAATTGTTGCTATGGTTGTCCTCTGACATGGGAGCGGATACTACAACTAACTAGATGAAGGTAAATAAAGGAAGATCCAGCTGCAAGCCTGCAGGTTTACGCATAGTATCTTGGTCCTTGAGCTCAATCTCGTTGGTTCACTTGCAGTGCTGCTACAATTGACATTTTTTCTTGGTATATCTTTATCACAATATTAAATGATTGTGGAGTAGAGATGCTTAGATGTTCCTAGCTATCAGAATAATTCGTGGATGTAAAAGCAATAAAAGGTTTTGGTATGGATTGGTGATACAAGTTCTGTGACTAGCGTCCAAATCCACTCATCTGTCCAGGCCTACACACGAGAGAGTCAACCACGAAAGTTTCAGAATAGTTAATGTTTTCGGTCAAACCTAATCGATATTAATTACTCCCTCCGTTCCAGTTTATGTAAACCTATTTCCTTTTTGGTCCGTTCCAAAAAGAATGACTCCTTTCTAAATTTGGAAACAATTTAGTTTAAACTTCCAATTCTACCCTTTAATGAGAAGCTTTTATAACCACACAAATACTCTGGATCCCTTTTTGATTTGTTTAGGACCACAAATTCAAAAAGTCTTCATTTTTTCTTAAACTTCGTGGCCAGTCAAACAAGTACACATAAATTGGAACGAAGGGAGTATATAGATATGCAGGTGCAAAGAGGATAGAAGTGTAAACTAAGGAAGAGGATGAGACTCATACATTCCTTTAACTATAGTTTTTGATGCATTAAGCTAAGGTGATAATCCAAAAGGACAAAGGAAATAGATTGCAGAGAAAATGTTTTTGTTAATTGAGATGTGATTGAATGAACCAAAGTAGAATCCTTGATGCACAGGATGAAGACTGCATCATGTAAGCGAATAGATTACTACGCTGGCCTATGCTAGCTGCCTAGCAACTGGATGACGATGACGACTCGATTGTCCTTGAACCCCTTTCTTTTTAATTAAGTAGAGAATAGTAGAAGAAAGGGGATCACATACTGAAAAAGAGATTAATCTCTTTTAAGCTCCATTAGCTAACAACATAGAGAACTCTAAGGCAATTGAAATTCAAACGCAATGGTTTGAAGGCATTTAAACTCGAAGCAGAAATGCATTAAGCAACTCACATGAAGGTGAGAGAAATAAAAAAGCACAAAATTGAAGCAAGAACTGAGCTGATGAAAAAGCATTGGTAGTTGCTTGAACCTAAACAGGCTAAACTGTTGAGATTCAGAGAGTGATAAATAGTTGGAATGATGCGAAAGGCTTGGACCTAACAAAAGCACAAAATCGAAGGAAGAACTGAGCTGATGAAAAAAGCATTGGTAGTTCCTTGAACCTAAATAGGCTAAACTGTTGAGATTCAGCGAGTGGTAAATAGTCAGAATGATGCGAAAGGCTTGGACCTAACAAAAGCACAAAATCGAAGGAAGAACTGAGCTGATGAAAAAAGCATTGGTAGTTCCTTGAACCTAAATAGGCTAAACTGTTGAGATTCAGCGAGTGGTAAATAGTCAGAATGATGCGAAAGGCTTGGATGATCTCGGTGGAATGATTGCTTTCAAAATAAATCCGTATGAGATGGTTCACGCGCTGGCGCATGTGAAACAAGGAGGTTGAGATGGCACGTAGGCTGTGCACCTACATCTTCCTGTGAGGAGCCATTGCTTACAGTGCTTGGGCATCCAATCTGAGTGGTTTGTGTTGTTCGGAGATTGCTAGATAGTGATGAATCGAAGAATCCTCCTTCGGACCATCTTTGCTTCTTTCTTGAAAATATTTTTTTAATAGAAAAAGAATAACTGTAATCAAAATAGGGACTCAACATCCTAGTATGTGAAGAAATAAGGAAGAAACTTTTGGTGGCATTTATCCATGTTGTAAAATAGGAAAATATTTCATGATTACAAGCATGTACTCAGCCCAATAGATATGTAACCATCCTAATTGATTCTTAACAGATATTCTTAAGGGTGGTCAACTTAGTTCGGCTACATTAGCTTCTTTTATGGAAAATTTTAAAATTGAGGGCTTGAAGAGCTCTCTAATATACTAGTTTCCGACTGTCCGAGCAAGTACATTGCTGTTCCTCGAGGTCAAAATGCTAAACTTTAGTGACCTTCCCCTGCTAGTGGATGATTTTATATGTAGTGTAAGGCTGGTAAGCTCCAAAGCATCAAGTATGCTGCCAATTGGGTGCTCTTATATATCAGCTCTTCTCAGGAAGATTGTAAACCCAAGGGCTTGCCAGTTTCTGACTATCAGAACAATTCTGCTTTTCCTTGAGGTCCATACGCTAACCTTTAGGCAGTAACCTTTCATTGTTAGCAGATCATTAAATGTGTTGTAACCTACTATCCTCCGGTACCTTGTGTAAGCTTAAACTTGTCAGCTTTTGTATATTAGCTCTTATTAGGAAAATTTAAGAAGGGCTAGCCAGTTTTTGACCGTCCAAGCAAGTATCTGCTTTTTATTGGGTCCATATGCTAACCGTTAAGATGAGACCTTCTGCTGCCAGCAGTTCATTGTTGTCACTACCCAAAACCGCCTCTGATCGTGATGGCACCTAACCAATTTGCTAGGCAAGCTAATTATTGCAACAAGATAACGAATTACGAAATAATACAAGTCTAAAAGCAAAATATCATAAATAAAGACTGCACCAATACAATCAATCCCCCAGAACTGGTAATACAGAGTGATGAGCTCTACAACAGGAGTACAAGTCTGGTAATATAAAAATATTGTCTGAATAATAACAACAGTAACAAAAATGGGAAGAGATGCAAAGGACTGCAATCGGAATGCAATACCTCGTCTCTCAGCAGCTCAACAATTATCCAGCACAACTCTCAGCTAGGTCCCCCACCTAGATCTGCACAATTAAGTGCAGAGTGTAGTATGAGTACAACTAACCTCATGTACTTAGTAAGTATCATGACTAAACTCGGAGAGATAATAGCAAAAATCACCAATGATACTCACGTGATAAATCTGTACAATTCATGATATGTACAAATACGCAGTAATAACAGTGTTGTGAAGAGTGTGAAGCGAGGAAAAGCGACAACCCCATTTCACGAAAAGCAAGAAGCGAGAAGCGAAGCGCTTGCTTTTTTTAAGTGAAGCGGAATTTTAAAAATAAATTAAAATAAATACTGCATAGATAACACATGTAATTGTAAGCAAATGTTCAATACTTCAATTAAAAAACTAAAGAGTAACATCAATTAAAGCACAAAATGAGCATCCTATTCTTCTACAAGATTGTCAAATTCTTGTATTCCACTATCATTATTATATTGCTCGTCATCTTCTTCATCAACTAGGGACAAAGTAGATTCTTGTATTCCACTATCATTATTATATTGCTCGTCATCTTCTTCATCAACTAGGGACAAAGTAGCTGCCTGTTTTCCCTTCCTCTGTGAACTTGAAGTTGAGGTACTCCCCCTCAAACCATAAATCCTCTCCCCAATTCCACGCGCCTCCGCAACATCACCCCAAGCGAAATCAGAAGTATCCTCAAATACTTCTTAATCTGCATGATCTTCCAGGACTCCAGTTAGCCATTCATTAGTATCATCGATGTTGTCCAAACTAATTGGATCAATTACATTGCGAGCGTTGTAACGACGCCTCAATGTTCTATTGTACTTAATGAAGACTAGATCATTGAGACGCTTCAAGGTTAGTTTATTCCTCTTTTTGGTATGAATCTGCAAATAATAAGTAATTAGTAAGATTAGGACAATTGAGATATAATTTAATTATCTCAATATACTAAATCTTTCTTATTAGTTCTTACATGTTCAAACACGCTCCAATTCCTTTCACACCCGGATGAGCTACATGTTAGACTTAGATGGCAAACTTTTGTAAATCTGGAGTGGAATGACCATATTGCTTCCACCATGCAACTGTAGAAGTAGAACAAATTTTCAAAACATAATATTGATAAAGAAATAACTTATTAACTATAAAACAACATATAAGCACTCGCTCACTTGGTGACTTCGTCTTTCTGTGTCTAATGGCCATGTTTTTTCCAAAAAGTTGCTGAGCATTCCTATAAATACTAAATTGCTCTGTGATTTTATCTTGCACGGATTCTTCAGGTATCAACTTCTTAATACATTCATAGTATCCATTCCACAAAGGTTCATCTCCTAGAATCCTCTCTTCATTGTCGTAAAACAGTTCCGGGTTCAAAACAAGTCCAGCTGCATGCAAAGGGCTCTGAAGCTTACTATCCCACCTTTTATCTATGATCTCAAAGACTCTTTTGTATTTTCTTTTATCACTAAAAGAGGCTTGAATAACCTCCTTTGCCCTATCAATTGCTTCGTACAGGTAGCCCATTGGTGGCCGTTGCCCCCATCCACCAAACGAAGCACTTTAACTGAAGGACCACCAATCTTCAATGCATGAACCATATTGTTCCAGTATGAAGGAGAAAGTATAATATCTGCAGATTCTCTCCCTCGAGCTTCCCTTCCATAGGCACTGCTAGTGTACTCATCTGAAACAAACAACTTTTTCAAATTGCTTTTTTGCTCATACATCCTAGCCAAAGTCAAGAAAGCAGTAGCAAATCTTGTCTTTGCAGGTTTCACCAAGCTTTTTTGTTTAGTGAATCTCTTCATCATGTTCAATAACAAAGGCCTTTGAACAATATAGGAATGCACTCTAATTGCTTGATTAAAGACAGTACTGAAGGGTCTTTCCTTGAAAATATCACCGAAGATCAAATTAACAGAATGTGCTGCACACAGAGTCCAATAGATATGCGGGTAGCAAGCAGACATCATATCACCAGCTTTAACATTTTCACTGGCATTGTCCGTGACAACTTGAACAACATTTTCTGCTCCAATAGAGTCTATTGTACTCTTGAACAAGGAGTACATTTTGGTTGAATCAGTCGAAGAGTCGCTTGCATCAACGGACTCAAGAAACAGGCTTCCCTTAGGAGAATTCACCAAGATATTGATGATCATTTTTCCATTTCTCGCCGTCCACTTATCCATCATAATGGAACAACCAAACTTGTTCCATTCTACTTTGTGCTCCTCCACGATTTTGTTCACCTCTGCCACCTCTTTTTTTAGATATGACCCTCTAACTTCATGATATGTTGGAGGCNAATAAGTTGGAGGTTTCATTCCTGGGCCATATTGGCCTACGACCTCAATAAAAGCAGCAAAAGTGTCAGTATAATTAACACAATTAAAAGGAAGACCTACATCATACATCCACCGGGCAAAAAAGGTAACTGCATGGTCCCTCAAAATCGCTTTGGCATCAACTTGAGGATTACCACTTTTTCCTCCCTTATCTCCAGATATTTGCGGGAAGTAACAATCCATAGGACCTTTGGTCTTGCCAGTAGATCCACAACTAGAAGACATTGGTGGAAGCATCCTTCCCCGCTTTTGTGATTTTGGTGGAAGCGACGAAGCATCGTCACCTTCTTCTGTTTCATCATCATCATCAAGATTATAAAGTTCTTGTTCATGAATCATTTGAGTCTTTAACTCTTTCTTTTTTTGAAGGCATGCTTTCAATTCTTCCTTCACATGCCCCGGAACTTTAGGACAAGATGCGACATTTGGATCACCACTGATTAGATGCGTTTTTTGACGATAGATTCCTCCATTTGTAATTTTATCACAAAAAAGACATCTAATGGCCATCTTGTTGGTCTTGTTAACTCTTGCAGAGTAAGCCCAAGTCGGGTCTTTCCTATCTTCTTTTGGTGCCATTAAAAGAACAACTACATAACACATAAGAAAGACAATAAGAATTAAGAATAAAAGATATAATAATTGGGCAGAAACGGGGCAGAATTTTTCTGAAAAAATTCGCCAGCATTTCGGCGCTTTTTGGACGTTTAGAAAGAAAAAGAAAAAGAAGAGGAAGAAGAAGAAGAATGAAAATAAGAAGTGCAGAACATACCTGTTGAAAGTTACTGTTGTATTGTTGAAGAAGAAGAAGAAGAACCCTAGTTTGAAGAAGAGAAATCGCTACTGCTGAAGAAGTCGAAGAAGTCCAGAGAACTAAAACAGAACCAAGTTTTTGATTAAATAGGGCTTTGGGTCTTTTAAATCAAAAAGCGTCCGCTTCGCTCGCTTCTTCTCGCTTCACCGCTTCTCGCTTTTTACAGAGAAGCGGTCGCTTATGCATACCAGAGCTGCTTTTAACGATATAAGCGCTGACCCTTTCGCTCCACTTCGCTTCTCGCTTAAAGCGAGGAGGCGCTCGCTTTTCTTATCACTGAGTAATAATAACAGAATCTACACATGAATGCAGATAAAGCTAACGGTGCACATAGAGAAGATATGTACTAGTTTCATAACAGAATAACGGTCCAACATATAGAGAAGATATGCAATAATGGGCATGTTAAGTCACACCGAGAGAGACATATAAAGAAGATATGTATTGTGTATCATTTCATCGACAGAAACAACATATAGAGAATATTTGTTTAAAGAGGCATGTATACAAGTACAAAGCTAGCATATAGAGGAGATATGCAGTAAAAGTCATGTATACACCTAAGGATTTGCATATAGAGAAGATACATAAAAACCTAACACTGATAAGTTTTCCACAACCGCGTGTACGTTATCAAGAAGAAACATGAGAGGACGACCCTAGGGGAATGGATCCTTATCCACACACTGCCATAAACAGAACATCCGCACGGACAACTCACGTGCCATAAACAGAACATCCACACGGACAACTCATGTGCCACAGTCATAACATCGGTACGGACATGTCACGTGCCATAGTCAACTCAACCTGCATGGACAACTCACGTGCTGTCAAACCAATCCATAACACAAAAAGTATATACAAGAATACATGTATATACAACAACAACCTAGTAAAATCCTACTACTGGGGTCTGGGGAGGGTAGTGTGTATGCAGACCTTACCCCTACCCCGAAGGAGTAGAGAGACTATTTTCGAAAGACCCTCGGCTCAAGAAAACAAAAAGACAAAGGAGACAATATTAGTATCAACAACGAAATCATATGAAAAACAGGAACATGAAATTCAGAAAAAGATGCAAAGCAAAAGCAATAGCTAGTAAACAGTTCATGCGCCGAAAAGTAAAATAGTAAGACACAACATTGCCACTAACTATCTTAGACAAAAACCCTACCAGACTGGTCTCGCAGTGGTACAAAGTAAGGAAAGACTCAAACTACCGTCTAACCTACAACCCTAATACTCGACCTCCACATCTCCCTATCCAATGTCATGTCCTCGGAAATCTGAAGCCTCGTCATATCCTGCCTGATCACCTCTCCCCATTACTTCTTAGGCTGTCCTCTACCACTTCTCGTGCCCTCCACAACCAGCTGCTCACATCTCCTTACCGGCGCATCTGGACTTTTCCTCTGATCATTCCCGAACCATCTGAGTCTCGCTTCTCGCATCTTGTCATCAATGAGAGCCACATGCACCTTCTCCCGAATATCATCATTCCTAATCTTATCCATCCTAGTGTGCCCGCACATCCACCTCAACATCCTCATCTCTGCTACTTTCATCTTCTGGATATGTGAGTTCTTTACAGGCAACACTTAGCCCCATACATCATGGCCGGTCTAACAACCGCTTTATAGAACTTATCTTTGAGTAACGGTGGCACTCTCTTATCACACAAGACTCTAGATGCTAACCTCCACTCATCCATCCTACACCAATCCAATGTGTAACATCCTCATCGATCTCCCCTCCCCCCGGATAACCGACCCAAGGTACTTGAAGCTGCCTCTACTTGGGATGACCTGTGATTCAAGCCTCGCATCCACGTCCACTTCCCCCGGCTCAGTGCTTGCTGAACTTACACTTCAGGTATTCCGCTCAGCTTGAAACCCTTAGACTCAAGAGCCTGTCTCCAAACTTCCCGCCTATCGTTAACACCGGCTCGTGCCTTTTCTTTGTAGGCGCTTCAAGGTTAGTCGATTCCTTTTCTTTGTATGAATCTACAAAAAAGATGTGTCAACTAATTAGTAGGAGTTTGGACAATTGAGATATAATTTACTTTATCT